TACTGAGGCACATATGTTTAACTTTAAGTCTTTAAAGCTAAGTCTGTAGGCTTTGAGATAGAATCAATGGAGCGATGATTCAAATGTTGGCAAAAATTCGGAAAACCGAAACTCATATATGAAAATATGGAAACAACTTAGATTAGAAGCTTGAAAAGTGCTTCTACGATTCTAATTAAATTTATAAATTATGTAAGCTGTCCATATAAACGCACACAGACACATGCACGCATACATATGTGTATGGTACACATACATCAAGGTTTTAAACATCAGATATCAAACGACCAAAATTCATATTGGTTTGTGAGTATGAGGAAATATCGGGGATATATAGTAGAAATATTAGGGGGGGTTATTCATTGGTGTAATTGGGGCAAATTGGGTTAAATTGCTCCAATAAGATAATTTTACCCAATGGGATAATTTGAGTGGGATAAAGTGGGGTAAGGAGTGGGATAAAGTGGGGTAAAAGGGGATAATGGGACAATTTGAGTGGGATAATTGGTATGACATCTTTTTATAATATAATATTTATAGATCAATTAAGTTCAAGTTTAACTTGATATTACATCAAATGATTAAATAAATAATAATTATAATATATAATAATATTATTTTTAAGATTATTTTAATATAAAATATTTAAAAAATATAATAATATTAATATTAATCAATCTTTGAATATTTTGATGTTTATTTTAACTATTATGCTATATTACCAAATTTTTTAATTGCAATAATTATTTAATCATTCCTACATTTATTACAATGACGACGATAAAGTCTAATTATTACAAATAAAGTCTTAATTATTTAATCATTCCTACATTTATTACAATGACGACGATAAAGTCTAATTATTACAAATAAAGTCTTATTACAATGACGATGATAAAGTCTAATTATTACAAATAAAGTCTTAGTCAGTAACATAAAATTCATCCTACAACAACAAATATTAATAATGACCAAAATTCCTTTGCTAAAGACTATATGTACATGTAAAATTTGGCACATAACATTATAAACTGGCTTTTGCCATTGAACACTATATTTTGAGCATAGTCATTAGTACTATCCAATCAATTCTTGAATATTAATTTGTTAAAATTCTTTTCATCATGCAAACATCACTCTGTTTCATTGAGTCATACTCACAAACACTTGGTTAGCATTAAAGTATGGTTAGCATTTCTTGCATATGACATTTACTTGCATCAAGCCATACTCACAAACATCTTATGACATGAATTAAAAAAAAAAGCTTCAATGTCATCATTAGTGCTCATCAACAATGCCACAAATTTGTTAAAGCTTGACCGCAACCAGCAGCATTAACATCCCAAAACCGGAAAAAGTTTACAAACAACAACAATAACACTAATAACATACATCAGTTTTTATTGAGAGATAAAGTAAAATTACACAAATATTTTAAGAATTAGGACCTTAATCCTTTTAAGAATCAGGACCTTAATATTAGACCAATGCTTTTCATTAAATCCAGTTTTGTACCAAGCAGAGGAGGGTTTGGCTTCGGTGGAGGAGGCGGCGGAGGAGGCGGCAGAGGAGGGTTTGGCTTCGGTGGAGGAGGCGGAGGAGGAGGGTTTGGCGTCGGTGGAGGAGGCGGAGGAGGAGGACAGAGTTTGGCGTGGCTGTTCTGCGTCGGAGGAGGGCGGCGGAGGAAGGAGGATTTGACGTCGGAGGCAGGGGCGGCGGAGGAGGGTTCTCAGCTGGAAGAAGAGGAGACGATGAGAGAGGGCAAGATTACCCATGTGGTTGTTCCAGCAAAAGAATTGGGACAATTTTGAGGGGGGTCTTGAGGAATGTATATATAGTTGGGGTAATTTTAGGGGAAGTGGGATATTTGTCCTCAAATTATCCCAACAAACCAATAACACCACAAAGTTTACCCCAGTTCCAATTACACCAATGAATAACACCAAAAAGTGGTGTTCCAAAAATTATTCCATTATCCCAATTTTTACACCAATGAATAACATGATGTGCATATATAGTATAATGTTTTAAAATATAATCTAAACATACTTAACAAAATCTAAGCATACAAAAATGTAAGTAGTATATGTCTAGGATCACTTAACAAATAATAGAAACTTAGTAAAAATACCAACTACAAGTTAGTTAAATAACTTTATATGGCTCATATTTTTGCTAAAAAATATTAAAGAATTTTGCAGAACTATATTGTTTGCGACAAGCCATGTAGAGGACATATTGGCTATTATATTAGCCATGTTGTGGATATGTCGTACAAAAATTGCCAAAAAGTGGGAAATGATATTGTGACCATGTCATTTTGTGACATGCCTTATAAAGGGATATATCGGCTATATTAGGGTTATTTAAAATGATGAAGCACATGCATATATATGTATATGCAAGTAGACATATGAACATACACACAGGTACACTCATGTTTTATAAACCACTTGCCATTTCTAGGTGCTGACCGAAGCGGCTAGCCCCCAAGCGCCTATGCCGACACTTAAGCGGGTAACACAGTCATTGTTAGCACAAAGAGGGGAAATATTCAGTTTAATTATTCAATATCTTATCCTTGCTATTTACCTCAAATAGTCTGCATAAGCGGTTTATGTTCCCCTAGGTGCTCCTTAGACCTAGGCGAATGATCTAAGTATCACTTAGGCCTAGGTGACCACGTATGTTGATGCGTACTTTTAGTTGGAGCTATAATTGTGCGGTACCCATACCCTGCACCGAAACTTTAGCGGTCACTTCTCTGATTTTTGCACACGCTTATTCAGTTGTGTACTCAATTACATAACACGTGTCTTAATTTAAAATGCTCGTCTTATACTTCTTGGACATATACCCTACACTTGACATGCAATCCTTGAAGCTTCTTGGATATAATTTGGGTTCGTTTCAACACGTACCTGCTTCAGAACTATGATTATAAAGAGCCTTTTGCATGTCAAGCTAAAAAACGATCTATTTTCTAATTTGTAGATTTTTATCATAAAAGAAACATATAAATGTTATAGGAACTTTATTTTATAGAACATGAAATGAAAGAAAACAATATTTCTATCGTGTAAAATATTGTTATACATACATGTATTTGTATTTGTATCCCTGTATCCTACATTTTACAACTATGTTGTGTCCCGCATGTGCACTCTATCCATGTACCTTAGGTGGGTGGCGAGACCACTTTTTAAAACAGTGAGATATGCACACATACACAAATACATGCACACCCGCAGACCCACTCACCCATCCGCCCGTACACAGCCCCAAACACGCACACACCCACACATCTACAGAAATGTATTTATAGATACTCACATTCGTAATAGATATACATGCACGTGCACACACATATATGTAATGTTCATATATACATGTATACAATACGTACATATAAACACGTGCGTGCACACAGAAATACACACCACACATACAGACATGTAAACACACATATTTCTACACACAAACACCCATTTGCACACGCGCACAAATACACATATACACACTATAAACTTACAAAATCATATACAGACATAAACTTAGACACAAGCACACACACATATACGCGCATGTAAACACACAAACACCAACATATAGTTATATTCACACATGTACATATGCATGAACACGTGCACATGCCCCCGTCCTGCCCCCGCTTTCTGCTTCTGCACATGCACACACATGCACGTTTATAGTAGGCAAAACAACCAGATTTTCTCCATCTTCCTCCTCAATCTTGTGTTTGTCTTCTTTTCTTGTTTTTTCCTTTTTTCTGTCTAGGGGTTGGTGATTCTGTTACTTTTTTTTCTTCTTTTGGGGGCTACAGTTGGTTGGTCTAAGGTGATCAGAGTTTGTAGAAACACGATTGTGAAGGTGAAGCCCCATTCAAGAAGATTCTAGAATAATGCAAATTAAAATTTATGTGAGGGGAAGGAAAGAAAATAAAATGTGTTTGTCTTCATATTTCTGGTTCTCTGCAGTTGCTGTGTAGTATTTGTGCTTCTTAAATCTTAAATTTACTATAGAAGTTTATGTTTCATATTTCAAGCCTCCTCACATAATGGGTGACATTTTTGTCGTCTTATTTCCTCTGATTCCAAAGTTTCATCAACTATATTTTAAATTTTTTCCCCAATTTTCTGATTCCATGTGTTTGACCTAGGTTTCTTCACTAAAAGCTGGTTCTTATCAAGAAATATTTAGCTTTTCTTTTGGTGGGTCAAGTGGTAATCTTCTTGCTGCTGGTTGTAATGCACAGGTACTACTATTTAAATTTTGTACACATTATCATATATTAATATTTGCAATTTGTTCTTGATTGTATAATGGAAATTGTAATTAGAGTCTATATGTCAGTTTGAAGATGGATCGGTCATATACTTCTGTTGGGAAATGGTCTGCTTAAATTTCTTTATCATTTTGTAATTTGTATTGGGTTGGTGAAGTTTTGAGCTGTGGTAGTGTCAAGGTTTTAAATAGCGGTTATCGGGGATTTATCGGACGGCCAAAATCCTTATCGGATAGCGGAAATCGGGGATATATCGGGGATAAGTAGTATTTATCGGAGTGATATACTGGATGATGTATATATATAATATGATAACTAAAAAATATAATCTAACCATACTTAATGAAATATAAACATACCAAAATGTAAATCATCATGTTTAGAATCACTAACCAATTATAGAAAGCAAAACTTGCATCTTGACTGCACGATGAAACTATTCGATTGCATAGCCTTACTTATCGGCCGATAATCCCGATAAAAAAACCTAACTTATCGGCCGATAAGTACCGATAACGCCGATAACTCCCCGATAACTTGCCAAAAACGATAACCGATTAAAAATCCAAGTTATGGTGTGCGCCTGGGGAGCGCCCCGTAGCGCCTGCCGCCTTCCGCAAGGCGTGTCTCAGTAAACAGGAGAATCCCAATTTTATTCAGTGGGGTATTGGGTACAAACCCACTTCCCACTTAAACCCGAAACCAAAAACAGAGATGTTAGGGTTATGTCGTAGTGTCGCTTCCTTCTTCCACTTTTTCTTTCGTTTTGTCCTTGCGGTCTTCACTCGGCAGCAACAAGCAGCAAAGGCGAGCGGCAATCGGCGACGACGTGATGCAATCGGCGACGAGCAGCAGGTACATTCTTCTTCTCCTTTCTCTTTGTTTTCTTTTGTTTTCCTTTTTTTTCTCCTCATTGATGTTTTTCTGGTCCTTTTTTCTTTTCGTTTTGCCTTCTCTCTTCGCCCTTCTTGCTGATATTCCCTATCCATTTGCAACTAAACTTAAAATATGAGTTTAATCTGAGTTTTTAGTTGTTGACTGTTAAGTGTAAACTGTTAAGAGTGAGTTTTTATTTGTTTGTCTTTAATTAAGTTCTTGATTGTTAATTGTTAACCGAGAGATTGTTGAGATTTGTGTTTGAGTCTTGATTGTTAATTGTTAAGAGAGAATAGAACTTGATGAATTAGTTATAGACTTATAGTATCTTTACTCTTTAAAGGTTCACTGCTTCAGTTCTTAATTAAGTTCACTCATCTAAACTTGATTTGATTTTATTGTTAACTAACTTACAAAAAGAGATTTAATGTTAACTAACTTACTCTTCCTAGCTGTTAGTTCTTAATTAATTTTTTTTTATTATTATCGCTCTTTGACTGTTAACTAACTTGATTTGCTTCAATGATTAAAACTTTATCTTGTGATTTGGTAGTATATATTTTATTTATCTTGAGTCCTTGAGATTTTCTATGTAAATTTCACAAATATATATATTTTTCATGCATCTTGTATATCTTTAAATTTTTTGTGGCCTGGAGTGCGCCTCGCTTCGCTCGGTCGCGCACATCGCATTGCGCCTCGAACACTGAGTTGTAGCGTTCTTCAGAAAAAGAGAAGAAAAAATAGTGCAACCAACCTTGTATCTAATTCTTCTTATTGTGTTTCTCAAATTTGTTGGAATCTACTGGTCTGTTATGTGATTTTGCTATCAATACCCCTAACTTTTGTCATTTAGTAAGGTACTATCAGATTTCAGTAGATACTTAAGTTGGCACAAAGTTGCATATGCTCTGTTGTAGATGCAACAGAAGACAAGGAGTCAATAGAGTTTTATCAAATTTTTTGCCAACAGCTTTATGGTCCGCAAAGGGTACATGAAATGTATACTTACTCGCTATATAGAAAACTGAAACTCGTACTGATGCAACACAGTATTGAATGATTGATGTATAGTACTCCACTTGATACATATCTATGTTTAACAGAAGGCATAGTCTCATTAGAGTTAACCATGTTGTCACAGCTACAGCTTTCTGTCCTACAGGGTGCATGAATTATAAATTTAATCAGCATATAAACCACTGAAATTGGTATTGATGCAACCCAGTATAGAATGTTATTCACTAAACTATGTGAATAGTGCCAGGAATCACTCATTCCGCTTCTTACTTAGTTGCAATTGTTGACTCCCATTTGTAGCTAAATGTCCTCAGAATATGTTCAAACAGGTTTGACCCCCATTTGTAGCTAAATGTCCTCAGAATATGTTCAGACAGGTTTTGATCTCATATTCTCATTAGATAGAAGCTCAAATAAGAGCCAACTAAAGATACTAAGTCAGTTTTTGGCTAACAAAATCCCAGAATTTCCAAAACTGTCTATGATGTGTTTGGATATAGAAGTTTGAGAGAAAGATAGAAAGTAGAGTTTGCCTGTTCTTTTCGAATGATATGTAAATTAGACAGAGAGCAATTCTAGGTGCTTTTGCAAATTTAATGGTCATACTTGTGGTGTGTCATGACATTAATTAGTTATTATTTTTTGTTTTCTTGATTTGGATAAAGTAAGAGGCAAACCCAGAAGCAACTAAAATTGCATGAACTTTTCTTTTGACCTAGAGGAAGAAAGCTTATGGAAAGTTATCCTATCTGGCAGGTGGTCGGGTCATAGCTTGTCTAGAAACTTTTGTTTCATATTCTTTCTGAAAGATGGCAAATATAGAAACCATCAATAATCCGTTAGAAGATTTTTTCAACTTTCACACCTCTCCTTCCAAATTCTATATGCCATGCATTTACTATTATGATAGCTGGTTGCGACATAATCTACTGCTAAAACCTTAATCTCCTTATCACATTTCTCCCCGTTTTAAAAGCTGCTATAATGTATTACAATCGGACCATCGGTTGATTGGATTTCTCACCGACACGTGCCCCTTGATATGCAAATTGTTTCACTTATATAAATCTGGATGACTTCATGATGTATCTGGCTAAAATTTGACTTTCTGGAGTTATTGGGTACCGATGGAGCTCAAATTGGTTCCAACTATCCATCTTGGAGGATACGTCTGTGTTTGGTTTGAGACCATCTTTTAGATTTTATTTGCAACTTCAGGTCAGTTCTTTAGTTAATTGATTATAATTGAGTAACTATTTAAAATTTATCCAGGGCTTTTGATGACCTCATATCTTCAGTGAATTAGTAGAAACATACTGCTCACACTTTAACATGGCTATCTATCTGATCTAGAAACTAATAGGCAGTGGCTGGTCCATGAACTTGTACATTGTCTTTTTGTTTGCAACTAATCACCTAGTACAATGCTGATCTTTCGATATGTCTTATTTTAGATATCATTGTAAAGTTTTGAAAACAGCACTTTTGTCCTATCACTTTAGTTGTACCCTTTGTACCCTATTAACTGTGTAGTAGATTCTTATTCTTTGCTGATATATTCATATTAATGTTAGGTTTTTGTGTTTTGACAGATATTGTTTTGGGACTGGAGAAGCAGTAAGCAGGTGGCATGCTTGGAAGAATCACACATGGACGATGTCACACAAGTATGTCTTCTAACTTCGAAACTCATGTAGTTGTTACATTTTTCTCCATGTGATAAGTCTGGATTCACTGAAAATATATAGGAGTCGAAACCTTGCTGAGTATATCAATGTCGTCTCTGTAATGTGATTTGTTATGGTATATGTTACTATGTATGTGTACTCTAAAAGTATCTGTGAGTAAGAATTTAATTATTTAATGTACAAATCACAATGTTCACTATTCGGTTTGATGTGTGTTCTCATTTTCTTAATAAAATATATTCATGATATGCTTATCCGTGACTCCTAATGCATTAATTAATCCCACGTTTGATACTCAAAACAGGAAAGTCCTCCTTCAGTACGCAACTACTTGTTTTGATACCCTTATTTATATATGTTAACTAGTGTTATCGAGGCGCAAGGCGCAATGCGGGGTGCAAAGGCCCCTTACGCGCACCATGCGCAAGGCGCACAACGATGCGCGCGCCTCATTGAATTGAGGCGCACAACTAAAACTAATATTTTTCAACATAAGACAAAGAAGCATATAAGCAATATGTTTATAAATTGTCACATAAAAAGACTAAGAAATATAATTTACCGACTAAATCACGAAAGAGTCTTAATTAGCATGCATAACATAGAGAAGTTCATAAGTTTTCACAAATCACAATGCAAGATAATCTTCAACATAAGCAAAAATCTATAAAACAGAACAAGCAAGTAACAAATAAGAAATATGTATTTTCATTTAAAATATGATATATGTATTTTTAAGTAACAATTAAGTGATTAACAAACATGACTATTCATAGTTTTCTAGTTAGCATTCTTAATTGCTATTTGCTAGTTAGCATGAAAAGATGAAGAATGGAGATAACAATTATATATTCACATGTTTATAAATTTCTAGTTAGCATGCTAATTAGAGAAGTTACAATTAGCAAACAAGTATACTAAATTACTAATTACTGTTTTTTTTATAGGTTAAACATGAAAAGATGAAGTATGGATTAGCAACTAGCAAGAAAGAGTCTATTACATGATGTAAATATGTAATATGTAAATTATTTAAAAAAACAGAAGAAAAAGTCTATTACATGATGCATGTGTCAAGCGCACACGAGGGCACGCACACGAGGCGCGCGCCTCGTGTGCGCTTGACACCTACGTCATGTAATAGATTCTTTCTTCTGTTTTTTAAAAATACTTTACATATTACATATTTACATCATGTTTCTGGCTTCAGTACGCAACTACTTGTTACTTGCTTGTTTTGTTTCATAGACTTTTGCTTATGTTGGAGATTATCTTGCATTGTGATTTTTGAAAACTTATGAACTTCTCTATGTTATACATGCTAATTAAGACTTTCTTGCTAGTTGCTAATCCATTCTCTATATTTTCATGTTTAACCTATAAAAAAGAAACAATAATTAGTAATTTAGTATACTTGTTTGCTAATTGTAACTTTATTCTCTAATTAGCATGCTAACTAGAAAATTATGAACATGTAAATATGTAATTGTTACCTCTATTCTTCATCTTTTCATGCTAACTAGCAAATAACAATTAAGAATGCTAACTAGAAAATTATGAACAGTCATGTTTTTTTAATCACTTAATTGTTACCTAAAAATACATATCATATTTTAAATGAAAATACATATTTCTTATTTGTTACTTGCTTGTTTTGTTTCATAGATTTTTGCTTATGCTGGAGATTATCTTGCATTATGATTTGTGAAAACTTATGAATTTCTCTATGTTATGCATGCTAATTAAGACTATTTCGTGATTTAGTAGGTGAAATTATATTTCTTGGTCTTTTTATGTGAAAATTTATAAATATGTTGCTTATATGCTTCTTTGTTTTATGTTAAAAAATATTAGTTTGAGTTGCGCGCCTCAATTCAGTGAGGCGTGCGCATCGTTGTGCGCCTTGTGCATGGTGCGTGTAAGGGGGCGCAAACGCCCCGCCTTGCGCCTTGCGCATCGATAACAATGGATCCAATCCTCATTATGTCTAGTGATGATTGAACAACATCATTACCTGGATCATTGGTTATCCCTAGATCTAATTAGATCATTCACAGTTGGTAACATGGTGCTAAATGCAATGCAGGACCAATGGTTTAAATACCGGATATTTGGAAAATATTGGATGGCCAAAATTAATATCAGATTGCCGATGTTGGGGAAATATCGGGGATATGTGACAAATATCAGAATGCCATAACAGATGTTTCTATATATAGGATAATGCATTGAAGTGTTATCTCAACATACTTAATGAAATCTAAACATACAAATGTAAATAATATATGTTTACGATCACTAGTCAACCTTGTAAAATGAGAAAATCATGATATCTTCAAAAAATTGTCAAATGCGGTTTACGATCACTAGTCTAACATGCAGCATTTTGTCTGATTTTTTAAGGCCAAAATGTCATTTGATATAATGAGAAAATCATGATATCTTCAAAAAATTGTCAAATGCGGTATATTTTTTTGCGAGAAACCATATAAAAGGATATATCAACCAATATATCGGCTAATGTATCAGCCATATCAGCGATATATTACCCAAAATAGCCAAATAGTGGTAAAGGATATTTACAGGCCATATCAGTTGCAGCAAGTCCTGTAAAAGGATATAACGGGCGATATATTGGGTCATGTTGGGGATATTTAAAACAATATGCAGGATATAAAGTCATTTTATGCTCACAACGTGGGAGGCGATGCATGCGCCCTAGGTTTAATTATCGGATATCAAGGAAACGTTTGGATGATCAAAATCCATTTCAACTTGCGGATATCAGGGATATATCGATTATATTATATCGGATTGCCATATTAGATGACGCACATATATAAGATAATGTCCTAAAATATAAGCTAGACATACTTAATGAAATCTAAGCATATAAAAATATAAATAATATACACTTAGTATTACTAATCACTTACAGAAACTTACTTAGGGAGAAGAATACTAATCACTTACAGAAACTTACTTAGGGAGAAGAACATGCTTGAATTTTTCTAAAAAACTTCGTAAAAATGTAATTTTTGTTAAAAACATTATAGAAATTTTGCACAATTATTCATCTTAACAAACAAAGCTTGCAGTATGAATTAGAAAAAAAATGTTATTGTCGGTGTTCTAAATGTCGAATGTTAAGGACATGTTGGACGGAAAATTCTAAATTGGATGGCAGATATTAGAGATAGATTAGAAATAATTAATAAATGTGATATCAAATAATGTGCATATGCATACATCATGGTGGTGGTCCTTCTAGAGAAAAATGGTTTCTTTTGCAAAGCTTATGTAAAAGAATTTGGTCTCAATTGAGCCTCAAATTTTCTACCTGTTTATTTACATAAAGCATATATTTGTTTGGGTTTTAGGCCTCAATTGAACCATAAATCCAAACCAATCTTCTAAAAGAAAAGACAAATCAACATCACAACATTTTGGCTGATTTTTGAGGCCAAAATGTCACTTGATATATCAGGAAAATTATGATATGTTGCCTAAAAATGGCTTAAAGTAAATTGGTATATTGTTTTGTGAGAAGTCATATAAAAGGACATATCAACTGCCAACATATCAGCTGATATAAAAACCATGCCGGGGGTATATTACTCAAATTGTGAAGAAAACTATAAGCATGTATCGGCCTTGGCCATGTCAGGAGAGATTTAAAACAAGTCATGAGCCTCAGTGAAGCGAGTCACGCACCATGAACAAAAACAAAATGTTTGCAATTTAAGTAGGAAGCTAGTGATTAATGTGATTTTACAAAAGTTTAATGTGTTATGCTGAGAGTAAACTGTTCATACCTTTTTAAACCTAAAAGAAAGTTGCAATCAATTATGCAACATAAATGTTACAAGTAAGGGCATTAGAAAGCTATGATTCTACCTTCTATAATTCACATACTAAACCATAAAATTGGAATTATATTCAAACTAAATCATAATTATGTGACCCATGGACTCATGAACAGTTAAAGAAGTCCACTGAACCATTCAAATCTTTAAGTCAACTGTACATAAATTTAAAAAAAAAGAAAAGAAAAGTGAGATGTATGATGTATTCATTACTAAATACAAAGTAGTATTAAAGAAAGAACAAACACCTAACTTGCTAAATATAAAGTAGTATTAAAGAAAGAACAAATACCTAACTTACTTGCCAAACTAAACACCCAAAACGGGCATAAAGCTAAACACAAAACAACTAAGAACACTCACTGAAAAGGGAGAAGAAAAAAACTCACCTCTCTCTATCGTTCAACATCATTCATTGTCCTTCGGCACTGTTTACCCATTGCTAGGTGCATGCCCGATGGTCAAGGAACAAAATGAGAAAAAAGGGAAGAGAAAGGGCTGAGATGAGGAGCACAATTTGAGGATAAGGGGACCCTCGAGCCATATTCCTGATCGCATGGGGATGAGTTTAATTGGGTTAGCGGGTAACGAGTAACAACTATACTTTTATAATTTTTTATTGTAATGTAACGGATTTAATTGTAAATTGGGTTTGTGGGTTTCAGACTCAATATTAATTAGATTTCTTTCTGTAATCTGAGGGAACACCCTAGTTGCGCCTTCATAGAGGTGGAAAGCTCTTTAGAGACATTGTTGGGTGCACCTTTTTATCGCGAAACTTCATTCAAGGCACCTTCTCGATGCTTGACCTTGAGCGCCCTTGACAACACTAGGTAGACAATTCCTAAGCAAGCCTTATATTTTAGTTCTTGAAATTATTTGCCAATAAAATGGGCAAAATCTGAAAAAAGTTTACATGCAACAATTTATCACCCTTCTATATTATTAGTGAAATGAGTTAAACTGATAAATACTAACATTTTTTCAATGATGTATTTCATTTTATTATTATTATTTTTTTTTGATATGTACTCATGTTAAACTAAACTAATTTATTCATGATTTTGCATCATGCAATATAATAGTGGCAGATACAGAAAAAAATGCTTATAGTGTCGAACGACAAGTATCTACTTACCTTAACGTAAAAATTGTAATTTATGAAGCTCAAGTACCGGACATGGGCAGATGTACATGTTAACTTTGTTTGTCTGCGGGGTCGGGTGTTTTCTTCTAAGCTCATAATCTGCCTGCTTATTTTTAGAATGTTTGCGCTCTAACCTTATATAATTACTAAACAAATTAGTTGCCTATTTGAATATAGCCTATTTAATTATGGAATTTAGCCATTCTGAATTCACAATTCAGCCTACCAAATGAAGTTCTGTTTGCCAAAAATGCTATTTCTAAACAGTTAGCTAAAATATATATGATCAGCCCATTTGTCAAGAATGCTATTTTCAAACAATGAGCTCAAGTGAGCTGACCCTTTTGAATCAAGGCCATTAGCAACCTAAAATGCAAAACTATTGATTAGCCCATCGTGAGTTTTGTCCTCTTTCGACTTGCTGGATCCCATTTTTCTCTCGATCCCAAAAATTTCGTGCTTTAATTCTCCCAAAGAGGCCGTCAAACTCTTGATGGCTTTGGGTTTTTGGGTTGCTAATGATAAAAATAGATCAGCTCATTTGAGTTGATTGTTTGAAAATATCGTTCTTGGCAAATGGGCTAAGTGGATGTATTTTAGCCAATTTTTTGGAAATAGCATTCTTGACGAACAAACTTCCATTTGACGTGCGGAAATATAAATTCAAATGGGCTACTAATTTATTTAGTGATTATGTAAGTAAATGTTAGGTTGCAAGGATTACAGAACTATGGGGGCATATCGTAAGTTCAGACAACTTTAAAAGGAAATTTTCATATTCGTAGGGGTACTGCTCCCCCCCCGCCCCAGCACACGACACACACACAAATGGTAACGAGTACATCCACTCTGTTATATACATTTGTACATGGATGTGTATCCTGTCATATTAAGTTGTTCTTACTTGTGCAGATGCACTTTGTTTGTGCTGTTCTTGTTATACATATGTAGCTGATGAGTCCTATAGTTGAATTTTTAAAAATTATTTACGTGATTCAGGCTGTAGATTTTACACCATAGTATTTGTAATTATATGTTTTTGGTTATTGATAGGTACACTTTGCTCCAGATCAGCAAAGCAAGCTCATTTCTTCTTCTGTTGATGGTTTGTTATGTCTTTTTGATACTAATGGGCAAATTGATGACGATAATCATTTGGAATCAGTAAGCATCGACATTTACTTGATGCACTTTTAATTTACTTGCTTGCTATGGCCTCTGTGCATAGCTTGGATTGGAATATTGTAAAGTGAATTAAAGATCATCGTGATAAGAAATTTAATAATCCGTCTGGCACTTACAATGCCAATTTATTGCCCATCTGTAAAATATTCTGTGTCATGTAGAGCTCATTTTCTGCATATTGATGTTTCTGAGACATTTGTCATATTCATCTTCGAAACGATTCATGTTTAAGCTTACATTGTTAAATTGAATAGAAACCAAACATCTTTGCTTTACTTCTGCTGTATTTTATTTTTTTAATTTTTTTGTTTGTTTTTGAAATGACCATTTCAACCCCCACTTTGTATGCTGGATGCTACGCAGGTCACATAATTAAAAAGATTTAGCCTAATCGCAAATTACCTGGATCTAATAAATCATTTGTGACTGTCTGAAACAGATTTCATTAAATAAATCATCCTGCACAGTAATCATCATCACCAAAACTTAATTTCCCCTGAAATTATAGAATTTTGTTCACGTAGACATTCACAGTTTTTTCATCAATCATCATTATCACGCACATGGATACCCAGGCCACACTGAGCTCTGAGGCCTTCTGAGCATGGAGACATGACCTAGAGCACGAAGTGCTTATTTAGATTTTATTGTGTGTAATTGTGAGGACCACGACTGTTAAAAATATTATTGTGGGTCTTCTGGCTGTGACCATCACTCATAAAATAATAAATGTGTTTTTATTTAGATTTTATTTTTAAGCTATTTTCATTTCCTCTATCTGCTTATCAATGGACCACCATTTAGAGAAGTCAAGTGTTGATCTTGAGGTGTAGATGGATTTGTATTTTTTGAGACTAGGGTTTATTATCTGAATCTAATAGCAGCTCTAATTGTAACTCTACAGGTAATGAATGTGGGAACATCCATTGCAAAAGTTGGGTTCTTTGGACAGAGGAATGAAAAGCTATGGTGTTTGACTCACATTGAAACGTTGAGGTAATGTTTCAATCAATTAGAGCAGAGGCTTTCCTAGATTTTTTGTTTTTGTCTTCAAGTTAAACTGCAATAGTGAAACAAAGCAGGGTTAGTATTCACATGAGTGTTTCTGAGGCTATTTTGAATTCTAGTTTCTTTTGACTCGTCGTTTTGATATTCTTCTTTTTGTTTAATGCCTTGATCTTTTTCTAATGTATAATAAGTAATAGTAGTCAACATTAAAATGCTAATCTGAACTAATTACTGCTACTTTCTCCAGTATCTGGGATTGGGAAGATACAAGAAGAGAAGTCAACTTCGAAAATGCTCGCTCATTGGCTTCTGATAAATGGAATCTAGATGATGTATGCTTCTTACCTTCTCTAGAATATTCACAGAATTTTTTACCGATTCATTAGTCTTCTAAATCCGCTAGTCCTTTTAGAAGCATTGATGGTATTAGCATTTCACAAGCTTAATGTACTCGCATCTTAGACATCAGTTTTTCATTCATTTCAAATGTTTTAAAAAGCTGACAGCTTAAACTGAGGCATTTGATCCATGGATAAATGACGACTCTCAAGAGAAATGCATATGCTTCGTGAATTTTTAAATTCATGTTATTTTATTTTTTTAACAATAAATACACTCACCACATATGCATTATGAAAATTGTCTCTGGAGCAAGGATATTCTATTAAAACCCAATATAAACTGTCTTGGTGTTTAAATAAGCAGACTTCTGATGAAAGGGGAGGGTAACACCTTCATTCTAAATTTCTTCATTTATTAGTTCATCCATGGTTCTTTGAATTGTAGAAAAATCACGTGTTGTTGCTGTTTTTCAATTATCTTGTACTTCATTGCAGCCAAAATCTCTTCCAACTTATTTGAAAGAATACATCCCCCAGTTGCTCTTCAATGTTGAGCATTGACTACGCCCATATTACTTTGTACTTTACGCCATTTGTAAAAGTAAAGATTCCTCTGTAGTTTTCATCCTTTAATTTTTTTATTATAAAATATCTCCATCACAATTGTGGTTTGTATTAGTAATTTGAATATGTATGTTACTTGTTGAACCTTGTTGAGAAGATTCGGATGAGTTTTTACTTTTTAGCTGCTTGATATCTTAGCTGGTCTAGTTACCTATGGATGAAGGGTGAAGTATTAGAGGACTACTTCACTATTATTCCAAGTCCACCTAGAATCAAGGTTGTGTCTTCCATCTGAAGCTAAAACTTATTTTTTGGAATTTTTGAGGATAGATCCAAAAAATCAACATTGTGGTTGTCATTGTATAAACATGGTGGTAATGATTGCATCACCACCCTGTCCTCTTTGTCATCTACATTAAGCGTGAATATAATAAATGTGCCACCTTTTAACAAACATAGTGTTTTCAATGGTTTTAAAATAAATTACAAGCTAGAATCCATTTTCCGCTCTCATCTCTTATTTGACAATATACTGCAGATTGACTATTTTGTCGATTGCTACTACTCTGGCACCGACGATCAATTATGGGTAATCGGTGGCACAGGCTCAGGGACGCTGGGCTACTTTCCCATAAACTCCAACTCTCCTTCAACAATTGGGTCACCGGGGGCCATTCTTGAAGGTGGCCATTTAGGGGTCGTGAGGGCTGTGTTACCCGTTTCAAACATGAATGGGAGCCTTGCACAGAGCAAAGGCATCTTTGGGTGGACTGGCGGAGAGGATGGACGCCTTTGTTGCTGGCTGTCAGATGAATCGTCTCAATTGAATAGGTCGTGGATAACTAGTGCCTTGGTTGTCAAATCTCCAAGAAGTCGCGGCAAGAATCGACACCATCCATATTGATAGTCGAAATGCTGTATACTGTTTACTTGCAGTATTAGTCGAGTATGTCCTTGGCTGTATGTTGTAATATAGAGGCGTATGGTTTGGAGTGCTGGAGAACTATTGACCCTAATTATGAAAATTCTTGACACCTATCCTAATAGAGCGTTGACAAGACTATTGTAATAGACAAGATTATTGTAATAGAGCATAGGCTTATGGTTTTGATTCTAATTTGGAGTTTGTTATATGAAAATTTATTCTGATAGAGCGTAGACAAGATTATTGTAAACGAAGTGTTTTGGAAACTTGCTCATCGAGGAACCGTGAAAACCCAGGGGCTGCTGTCAGTTCGAAATGGCTTGGGTTTAATTCTGGGGATCATGAGGTATCTTGGTCAGCCATCAACAAATGATGGTCTAGGGCATGTTTGGTAACCGGTCAAATTGGCTTATAAGTATTATAAGTAGACCATGTTTGGTAACCGGTCAAATTGGTTTATAAGCCACTTTTTAGCCACTGTAACGTGTTCAGCAACCGACTTGTTTTGGCTTATAAGCTCACAAAAATAAACTTCCTTAACCTAGCTTATTTTTAGTGGTTTATAAGCCATATAGTTTGACCAAGTAAATGTAAAGTGTGTACCCTTTAACATCTGAAATGATTCCAAAGTCTTCGATGTTTAAATTTAGAGTCGTGTCTAATTTGGTTATTTAACAATAGTAATGGATTATGATCCACTCATTTGCTAAAAACTCCTCTATTAAAAGCGGCTTATAGTCTATTTTTTTTTCCATACACTTCGGCTTGCAATCTACTTAGCTTATAATTCATTTGTGGATTATAAGTCAAGTTCCCAAAGGTCTATCATTATTGTTGACTGGTTCAACTTCTGTTTGTCAACTGTGTGGTATGGTTTTGAATCTTTTGATGCGTCAGGAACCACCTTAAATCATAACGAGGACAGACATTTTACGGCCTTGCATTCAAAGGGGTCAAAATACACGCTTATGGAGAGAAGCAAGATGATTTGAGGGAAAATAGATCTCAGAATGACTTCATTTGCTCTAAATATTTTTGCATATGATTCCACCAATTTTTTTTTTAAAAGCATAAGATGCTCTATTGTCAACAATCATTCTTAAGGTAATTAAGCCAAAATTATTAAAATCTATTTAAGCCAGCAGTAACTAGTACAAGTATATGAAGGCAAAAGAAACTCCTTACGTAGACAATATTATCTGAGTCCTGGATGTCTTCAGTATTTGCACGGCATGATATCAGAAGAAAAGTTCATATATACATACAAACTACGGAGTCTTAGATAACTCGCGCACAAAAAGGGGAAAAAAAAGAAGCAGCAGCAGCTCTAAAGATCTGCGCTTAAGAGCATAAATACTGATGTCGAGACCTGATCTAACAAGATCTCTTCGGAAGTTCGTTTGCTGTGACAAAACGTTACCCACTTCAAAGTCTCAAGGATTAATCGCGAAGCTCGTCATGGATCGTTCTTTCAAATTTAAATGGAATTTTTCCTGGCATAACCTGCAGATATAACACGGCAGGGGTCAAAGACTAAATAATATTAAATCAATGAAAAATCTTTTATCCTTCATAGAGAATCGAGGCATACGAAAGTATCCCCCTTAAAGTAACCTTAAAGTTGGAAGTTACACAGATAATACTTTCAAAATGTCACAAAACCCTCCTTAAGTTCTCAGAAAACTCCCTTCAGCTTTAAACAATTTTCAGAGACAACAAACCGCACCGCCACTCCCCCCAAAAAAAGCTCCCCATTAACTGTGAATGTCAGAAAACCCCAAAAATGTGTTTTCCACATGGAAATGGGTTTTACTGTTATTTATGGAAACGAAACAAACTCGCACGTAGTAAAGACATCGAAACTAGAAAAAGGTGATCATAAACTTTGAAGATGCAGTGCCAGAAAAGATTAGAAACAATTTCGATCATCCAGTATCCAACATAAATAAAATTTGTATTCACATTAGTACTAAAGGTGCCAATATTTTGTTACAAAATATGCAAAAGAAAACAAGATGATTCAGAAATGAAGAGAGAAAAAAACTTATTGAGATATAGCAGATGCACATCGTCTTCTCGATACCCCGAAAATAAACTATTACAGTATCAAAAACTCAACAGAGAAGCTGCATAAAAATTATTACACAGAGGAAATGTATGCAAAAGGATTGTAAAGACTAAAAGAGTTACAACCCAATAGATCAAAAATTGTCAAGAGTCGAAGGTGTGAGGTTCTTTTCACCCATGTTTTGAAGCTTTACTTGAATAGAACCTCATTTCAAGGAAGGAGTAAGCTTGTTTTTCAACTCTTTTAAACACATAGAAAATTGGGTAATCATTGAATCAGATAAAGCATTTAAGCATACATAATTAAAATACATATCATTGAGCACTGAAAACAATTATAAATTGCACAACATCCAGCAAATATTAAAATAATAATAATAATACAAGAACAATTGAGAACAGATGAATTACCAGATCGGAGACAATATCTGTGCATGTTATAAGAATGGTTATGATGATCCTGAGTTCTCGCCTTGCAAAGAATTCCTACCAAATAGTTCTTTTTCAGAATTCTAGATTAACAATAAGAAAATCAATGGAAAATTTTGTCTACTTCAGGATAAGTTACAACCCAATAGATCAAAAATTGTCAAGAGTCAAAGGTGTGAGGTTCTTTTCAACCATGTTTTCAAGCTTTACTCGAACAGAATCTCATTTCAAGGAAGGAGTAAGCTTGTTTTTCAACTCTTTTAAACACATAGAAAATTGGGTAATCATTGAATAAGATAAAGCATTTAAGCATACATAATTAAAATACATATCATTGAGCACTGAAAACAATTATAACTTGCACAACATCCAGCAAATGTTAAAAAAAAAAAATACAAGAACAATCGGGAACAGATGAATTACCAGATCGGAGACAATATCTGTGCATGTTATAAGAATGGTTGTGATGATCCTGAGTTCTCGCCTTGCAAGGAATTCCTACCAAATAGTTCTATTTTCAGAATTCTAGATAAACAATAAGAAAATCAATGGACAAAATTTTCTACTTCAGGATAATTACCTTTGCATAGATACTTTTTACCACTCTTTGAAGACTTTAATCTAAAGTTTCTGCTTTCATCTTCTTTGAGATCTATTACGAGTTTCTCTATATTTTCATTGCCTTGAGACTTCTCACCAATCTTCGAAGACCTTAATCTATAGTTTCTGCTTTCATATTCTGTGAGATCTATTGCAGGTTTCTCTATTTTTTTATTGCCTTGAGGCTTCTTGTCAATCTTCATCGACCTTAATCTATAGTTTTTGCTTTCATCTGCTGTAAGATCTATCACGGGTTTCTCTATATTCTCATCAACAATGTGGCACACACCATTTTCGGTAAGAAGAAATTTGCGATTGACCACCTCTAAAGCAATAGCATCCTCCAAAGTATCCCAAGAATAGCTTTTTTCTGAAGTATACATTGCGTTGGTTTCATCTTCACTGCTTTCATCTTCTTTGAGATCTATTACGAGTTTCTCTATATTTTCATTGCCTTGAGACTTCTCACCAATCTTCGAAGACCTTAATCTATAGTTTCTGCTTTCATATTCTGTGAGATCTATTGCAGGTTTCTCTATTTTTTTATTGCCTTGAGGCTTCTTGTCAATCTTCATCGACCTTAATCTATAGTTTTTGCTTTCGTCTGCTGTAAGATCTATCACGGGTTTCTCTATATTCTCATCAACAATGTGGCACACACCACTTTCGGTAAGAAGAAATTTGCGATTGACCACCTCTAAAGCAATAGCATCCTCCAAAGTATCCCAAGAATAGCTTTTTTCTGAAGAATACATTGCGTTGGTTTCATCTCCACCCAATTTCTTTGCAATATCACAAGGCATTTCAGTTAGAGGAAGAGGGATTTTAGTGGCAGCCAAATGTTCTTCAGAACTTTTGCTGATGACAACATGGCTAACTGTGTTATTAACATGCCCGGAACTTTTCTCAATTGTTTTCTGCACTTTCAAGTTACTTGTAGAAGTTTTTTCTTCACTTACTTTCTTCAGTGCATGACGATTGTCAGTTTTGCATCCTAGCCCATAAACTTCCAAAGTCTTGTCAGTTACCTTTCTTTTGACTCCAGTACTCTTGTTGTTTCTTTTCTCATTCACAATAGGACTGACTTTGTTGGTGTAAATTTTACCCACATGCTCTAAACCTTTGTCATTTGTTTTCAGCACTTTCAAGTTACAAGCAGAAGCCTTTTCTTTCCCTGCTTTGTCAATTTTGCTTCCAAATCCTGAATCTCCAAATGTTTTCTCAGTTGTCTTTCTTTTAATTCCAGTCCTCTTTGTGTTTCTTTTCTCATCAAAGTCTATAATCTCACAAGTGCTCAAACCAAAGATTCGGACTCTAAATACAAATTTCTCTATCAACTTGAGCACTATAAACTGCCCATAATTTATAGAGTGATCAAGCACAAAATCATCCCACCCTTCACAAAAAGCCAAGCGGCCGTCGACCACAGATAACTTGACCCTCCAAGATTGACCAGTTGAATCTCTGAGAATCACGGTTTGCTTATCCGAGCATCCAATTGTCTTCGTGAGTTTCAGAGGAATGTGCTGCATGTAATGAAAATAGGACTATAATCATAATGTTATTAGCATCATTAAGTCAAGAAGTGTAGAATCCATGAGAAGGATTGATCAGCAGTTAGCACTAGCGCCAAATTTCTCTTTTCAACTGGAGATTGATTGCAGAAAGGAAAGAACTAAATAGATAACAGAAAATCTCCCGATGGACCGTAGGAAACCTAGTTAGGTTTTAAAAGTGATAGTTTATCCCCTCATTTTAACTCCTAGTCAAATAATCATCAAAGTTCTTATTGCAACCATCAATTGTTAACATGATAACCAAATTTATGTTTAGAGTAAATTTCGAAAAAACTACCATCAACTATTTTTAAGGATTTAGCACAAAAATGCCATGCATTGTTTTTATTAAAGAAAATATCACAAAACCTTAGAAAATTAGTCATGGATTAAACAACATGACTTCAACGTAGGCTACCATAAATTTGGGGTTAATTTGATCCCCTCCCCCTAACCCAACCCCGCCCTGAAGGAACGAGAGAGTATTTCTTTGGGGCTCCGATGGAGATTGTAGTGTGTTCAGAGGAGAAGATTTCCTCTCTATTTATGAGCATTGCCTCTCCACCTGCGTCCCCAAAAATCAGCCCACTATCTCTCTAAACCCTTCTCTCCGTAAGACCCGATCTCCAACAGAAGAAATCCCAGAACGTGAGATATTCCCAACAACCGGGTCGGATTCTTAATGGGTCGGGTTACAGATTTGGCCCATGAGGCCAAAACCACTTACACGCCCCCAATCCCCTGACCCAAAAAAAACTTTGGGAGTTTGGCACATACACCGCACCACCCGTAACTTTTTTCCTCACAAAATCCCCATAAAATGCGGGGTATCTCACAAAATTCAAAATTCCTATGAAGTTAAAAATTTTATCACCAGACCCCTCTGCGTCTAATTGGCAATAACTAAAATGTGTGCTAAGGTAAGTAGAGTTTTTTGTCAGTACATAGTAGGGGTCTTTGAGTTTGGAATTTGCAGTGGCTTTGACTAAGTACCTTAAGTATCAGTTTTGTTTACTGATAAGGGTCGAGTTGGAGTCATGACACATTTGGTATTGAGGGCATGTTGGTACATTTCCATAAAAAAAGAAAACACAAAACCATGATGAAAACCATTTCAGAACATTTCAAAGGGTTTCTCATATTTGATTTATTTGGTTTGTTCCACCATGAAATCATAGGCTGAAAAGCATTATTTTTCCATTTCTTGGGTTAGTTTCAACATCCAAAAATAATAAAAAAATCTGACCCATTTCAGCCACTTTAATCACTTCGGGTCTCGAAAAGATGAGTGAGACAATATTTTATTACTCATTAAATACATTTTCCATTCATTTCACTCACTTTGGGTCTGAAATGTTCTACAAATTCTGACATGGCAGCACATTTCACATCTCCATTTCTTTAAATCACTCAACGAACCAAACACTAGAAATGAAAATTGGTAGAAATCAAAAACTGACGTGGCTGTGTTGTTAGATTTCAGAAGCTCCATTTCATTTCTTTTTTTTTTTTTTTTTGTTTCATTTCTTTTTTTTTTTTTTTTGAGCAAACAACAACCCCTGAATAAAGCCTACGGTTAATACCCACCCCCCGGAAACCCAGAAAAAAATGAAATGTCCTTGAGAGAAAAAACTCAATTGGGAGGTGGGGGTACGTTTGTGAGTAAAAGGTAAATGACTAAATATTTTAGTTCTTGCCAATTATATGAACAAAAAAAAAATGAAATGTCCTTGAGAGAAAAAACTCAATTGGGAGGTGGGGGTACGTTTGCCCGTAAAGGGTAAATGACTAAGGGCCCGTTTGGTTGGTTTATTTTGAAGGGGAAAGCTGTCACGGATGAGACATCTGTGGCAGCTTTCAGCCACTTTCCCCCTCAAAAACGAGCAACTAAACGGGCCCTAAATATTTTAGTTCTCGCCAATTATATGAACAGGGGAACGGTGAGAAAAATTTAAACTTTAGGGGATGGGGGTTGTTCAACACCCCAAAGTTCAGGGGGTTTAAAGAGATTAAAAAAGTGTAGGGGTGTTATGTGCTAAACCACTTAAAGCTCTGGGGTTTTTGTGAAATTGACCCATGAATGTCTCAGATAATAGCACTAAATCACACCAGGAAGCTTACACTATCGTCAAATATCTATCGGGTAGTCTTATTTATTATCATAAAACAATCATATTACAATACGCGGCAAAATTTTCGCTGATTTAAAAAAAAAAAGCATGTTATATTTTCTCTAGTGCAGATACTTAGGGTGGTTTAGTTACCCAACTTAGATTCTAAAGGTAATCCAAACGAAAAGACTAAAACAACAGAAAATAGAAGCAAAAGAAATAAAAAGCTACCAGAAAACGTTTGAAGTCTCCAAGCATGATCTTGAAGAAGGAAGAGGGAATCTGGTCATGGGTCTTGGAGAAATCAGCAGCTCTTCTCTCCATTCTTCTCCTCTTTCCTTTCTCCATTGGCTTAGTTAGAACCAAGGAGTTGTCAGGTGAAGCGTCTCATCGTTAGATTTCCTCATAAAAAAGTGGCAGGTTTTTTATTCTCTTCTGCGTTTGTACCTGCTTTTTTTATTAATTTTTCTACTTTGGGCCATTGAATCTTCCTTCTGTTTGGTCTCGAATGCGAAAAGACGCTTGACTGATTTGACAGGAAATAAATAGACAACCGTCGTGACGTTTTAAAAGTTAAGCCGGTTATCTGCGAAAATGCTGAAACTTAAGGGGGTTACTCTGAAATTTCCCTTTCTACGTTCAATGTCTGAGGTTTTTCCCCGTACTTGACTATGAAGATATTCATACAGGGCGAATGATGTGGCATTTTCTATTTAATGAGATCTAAATATATTCTGTATCTAGATGATTCCGCATCCATTTTACCCAACGCTTGGACATATTAGAGATGAGCTTTCTGAAAAGGGCGAAGATAATTTTTAATTTGTGGGACGAAGAATAACTACTTAGCTGCTTAAGAAGTATGACTCATGTCACTAGCTAGGACATCCTAATTCAAACAGACCCAAGAGGATATATTACGATCAAAGTACAACATGATTCAAATATTTTAAATTTGTTTACTCAACTTCATATTGTTATATCGCCGTTTTTACATGTTTATTTGCCCTTAGTTTACATATCATTGCAAATAATTCATTATATATCATGCTTGCTAGGATATTTATTGATTACTTTTAAATTGGCATTAATATCGGATTAGATTAGCATTCACCATATTCACCCCCCTCTAGGGCGCTTTTCACTTTCTTCATGTATTTACTAGAACTAGTATGGTGCACGTGCGTTGCACGTGTATTTAATTTTACGTTTAATTTTTGTGATGATACTTTTTGTGTGTGTGAACTATCCTTCGAAATGATCATCCTGAGTAATTTCAGAAAACTCAAATACAAAAAAGTACCAATCATTTGATTGATGTTTGCTAAGAAATTTTTTAGGGATAGCAAGTTTAATGGATAATCATGATGCTCATTTAAAGATATATAATCACGCTGCACGTGGACATAAGTATGAAAGTAATTTTTATATCAAAATAAAAATAAATAAGCTTTTATGTGTGTTGCATGTGAATTGGAAGTCTAATACATTAAACTTATTATCGCAAGTAACGTCTATTAGCACATGTTTAAATAAGTATATAATCACATGTTTAAATAAGTATATAATCAGGAAAGATTACTACATCCACCATCAAAATCTAAGCTTTTTTATGTGTGTTGCATGTGAATTGGAAGGCACTGGAAGTCTAATACATTAAACTTATTATCGCAATTAATGTCTATTAGCACATGTTTAAATAAGTAACCTACGTACTATTCACTTAACTTATGTATGTAATCAACAAAGATTACTCCATCCACCATCAAAATTTACCCGAACAACAACAATAATATCTCATTATATCATTTCATTTATTTTTTTTCATCTATATTTATTTTACTGGTTAGTTTTTTAATTACTCATTATTTATGAAGGATACGATGGATTAAATATTGAAAATTTCAAACTCAATCAAGCGCAAATTTTTGACTAAATTTAGTTGTCAAAATTCACTTAAAAATAATGAGAAAAAATATTTATTATGGAGAATGTGCTATATATATAGTTTACATGACCCAAAAAATAAGGACAAATAAAGTTCTATCATATATATTTCAACGTTTTCTTTGTTTAGTATATTAATTTATAACATACCAATCATTAAATATCACACACTATGTTAAAAATTTTACAAAATTGATTTTCAAGTAATATATAGTTAGTGGAACGCTTGCAATCTCTTATTAAGAAAATTAGTTAATAATGTAAATGAATTTGTAAGTCAAGTGTTTTTAATCTCATCATTCCTACATTGGGATTTTAGGATACATCAAAAAGGCATTTGACATATATCTACATTGCACACATTCAACCAAGTATATGCATTCCATACAGATATTCCTATATATATAATTTTCACATTGTTGTCAATAACCAAGTATATGCATTCCATACAGATATTCCTATATATATAATTTTCACATTGTTGTCAATAAATAGTTTTTTACTACTTTCATGTTACTTGACATTAATAACTATTATGTGAATTTACTTTGTGCCCGATAAACTCCAAATTATACCACAAACTTCCATACACATAATAGAAAAGCAATTTCTACAAATTTATAAACCTCAAGTAAATAATATTTCTCAAAATAACAAAAAATGTTATAACTCAGTAAAAGAAAATTGGATATTTATTTAACATCAAATAAACTAACGTAATTGGATACTAATGGTCACTCATTTTAAAAAAAAATTATATAACTTACAAAAACCATTGAAAATTGGATAATGAACATCGATCTCTCCTTCTCTCCCTCAACCTTCACGAGTGCATCTTAATAGAAAATCATGTAGTTACCTTTTTACTATCTACATGTTTTTACGTAACCATCTAACACTATTTTTGAAAGCTATAAGTAAATTATAATAATAGTATAAGCTATGATTACCTTTTTACTAACCTGTGATGATTGTCTTTTCTTCCCTTCCTCAACCTTTTTCTCCGAGATCTATTTTCTATTTGATGCGTGATATGTTTGACTGAGGAAATTAGGTCAATTTATAGGAATCACATGACCTTTAAATTCTAAATTGAAATTTTCATTTGTAATCATGCATCATTGATATATGTAAATGAGTGTAACGGTAGTGGAAATAATTTTCAAAATAATAAATGTATGTCCTCAATTTTTTATAAGTGAAGAACGAAAAGGCTAGAGACAATTTGTACCTTTATCCTAATGATGACATTAATATTGGATTAGTGGAGGAGTTACAAAAATTAGAAGTTAATATTAGTGGACAATTAATAGGAGAGTTATGACATTATTAGAATGTATGCATATATATATGTATGTGTTTATATGTATGGATGCATGTGTTTTATATATGTATGTATGTGGTTTGGAGGGTATTTTTGAAAGAAATATTTTAACATGCCAATCCACTTTTATAATAGTATTAGATTAGATTAACCGAAGATATGCTATAGGGGTTTACAAAGTCTCTTTAATTATATTAGTTTTCTTTACTAAATATAATATTAACTATAATGACATTATATTATTATGGGAAAATAATAATTTATATTATTAAATAGTAATTATTATGTGGAAGAATTATTATTTTAATTTGTTTATATGCATTAGCATTCAAGTATGTCAACGCACAACGCACGTGCTATATACTAGCACCATTATAAAAAGTGTGTCAACGCACAACGCACATGCTATATACTAGCACCATTATAAAAAGTGTGTCAACGCACAACGCACGTGCTATATACTAGCATCATTATAAAAGTGTGTTGCTATGTTAAAATATTTCTTCTGAAAATACCATCTAAAATATATATAAGACATCCATGGAACACATGCATGCATACATAAAATACATACACACATACGTAAACATGTCCCTTTAAATCAAAACACATAGATACATAAACTATGTATACCCCTTCAAATTTATCTCATAACCCCTATCTTATTAAATCATATTAATTAAAGCTTTTTAGGCTATATCATAACTATAGTTAGATATGTTTTATGAACTATAGTGCAACTATTATTTACTATAGCTAGATATATCCATTTTGTACTGGACTTTAGATATTATTAAACTTTATATCTATATGTTATTATATACGTCTAACAAGTATGTATAATAAAATGTTATATAATTCAATCTATCTATAGTATAACTGAACTTAAATTGACACGTGCCATTTGATTTTGGATTGGATTAATAATTGACGATCTAACTGCCTTCAAATTATTAGTTAATTCCGATTATGCCAATATTTATTGAATATTTAGTGGTTGTAGTGGAGACGATTCATCTCCTCTCTTAAGTGTTGTGCGCCGCGGAAGCCCTAAATTGACAAATCGAAGGCACACACAAGACAATAGTAGACCACAAACCAATGCAAGCCAACCAATCACAGCACAAACACAAGATATACGTGGTTCGGCAATATGCCTACGTCCACGGGGCAAGGAGAGGGAAGCTTTACTATTCAAATCAAAGGGGAGTACAAGTTAGGGTTACAAATCTTACCCAAAACCCTCAAATAAGACCAAAAGATCTCTCAAATAGACTCCAACAATAGAAGCCCTCAAATCTCCCTTTGCTCAGCTCAAAATCGCCCAAACTCTTACCCTAAAAACGAGTTTAGGGTATTTATACAACTCCCAAGCGAAACGGGTCTGGAAACCTGAACCAACTGAAACCCGCTTCGTCGGTCGACCGGGTCGGTCGACCGCGATCAATTCCGGTCGACCGGTTACAAATCTTACCCAAAACCCTCAAATAAGACCAAAAGATCTCTCAAATAGACTCCAACAATAGAAGCCCTCAAATCTCCCTTTGCTCAGCTCAAAATCGCCCAAACTCTTACCCTAAAAACGAGTTTAGGGTATTTATACAACTCCCAAGCGAAACGGGTCTGGAAACCTGAACCAACTGAAACCCGCTTCGTCGGTCGACCGGGTCGGTCGACCGCGATCAATTCCGGTCGACCGACCCAGTCGACCGACCACCTCCAGCAGAACCCCGAAAGAATCCAGAGAGCCCGTCGGTCGACCGGGCCGGTCGACCGACCTCCTTGTGCACGAATCCGGTCGACCGGACCGGTCGACCGCCACCTGTTTTTCCTGATTCTGCTGCTGATGCTGAAATTCCTTCAATTCTCCACCTCGGCGAATGTTTCCACCAAAACTGAGCCGACACCAAACCATCCAATAGTTCCTCAACAGGTCCAGGAACAATACTCGAGCTGAAACACGATCTCCCCCAATCTTGATCAACTGATCAAACCGGCTGCATCTAAAGACTGCCTACGTATCCTCTTGCCCAAGGAATCAAGCCGAACGTAGTTCACCCAAATGGCCGCCAACGGCCTCAGCACTGAAGGATGTTCAACAACTTCAAACAATGACCAAATTTCACTCCTGAAACAACTTTGGTCAACATATCTGCACCTTAGTGTGGACCTTCTCCAACGTGACATCACCATCATCCAATACGTCACGTACAAAATGAAATCTGACATCAATGTGCTTCGTGCGAGCATGGTAGACTTGGTTCTTCGCCAAATAGATAGCTGACATACTATCACAATGTACCTGAATGGTCTCCTGTGCAATCCCCAAATCATCCAACAAGCCATGTAGCCACAAAGCCTCCTTCACTGCTTCAGTCACCGCCATATATTCCGCCTCCGTAGTAGAAAGCGCCACTGTAGACTGAAGAGTACATCTCCAACACACCGGTGCACTAGCCAATGTAAAAACATAACCAAAAGTCCTTGAAAAATAAGGATGAAATCTGAACATCCACTGTGTTTGGAACAATAAATCACAGCAAAAAGAAAACGAGAGATGAGTTCGTATGAAGCAACAAAATATAACACTAAATAAAAATTTGCCTCAGAGGACCATCTCTACATTACAATATGAGCAATTTTACCAACCCGGATAATGTAACTGAAAATAGTATAGTTCACAGAGAGCCTGGAATAGGAAGATGGTTCAAATGAAAAATTACTTTTTTTTTGTTGATATAGTACTGAAACTAGTTATACACATCAAAATTTTGCTGCACTACTCCAAGGCATCAACACTCTTTTTGCCATGCATAAAACATTCTCTCAACCTCCAATCCACAACGAAGAGTCGCCCCCTCTCGAAATAGCATATCATATAGAAGGCAAACAAACCAAGAGAGATCCTCTTCATCATCATCTTTCCAATCCATTGAGTAATCGGTTCCCTTTTCCGCATCACTGCCCTCCCAACCTCTCATTGGGCTTGTCACCCCAGTATCTGACTCTGGTTCTCGCTCTGACTCTTAGCTCTTCGTCATCAACTTCGTCATCTCCAATGATGAATTTTTCTTCGTCAGAGGTATTGTATTCACCCATAATACTGTAGGCAGTAAAAATTGCCTGTAGATTGCAAAAAAGCTCAAAACTGACAAAAAACGCTGATATCTCTCAAACCGGAGGAAATTTGACAAAACGGACGGCGGCAAACCAAACTTCGGTTGGTTTGGTCGGCCCCATCTCAAAAAAATACGCGATTTTCATATAAATACCCCCTGGCATCCTTATGGACGAGGGTTGGACGGGAATCGGGAGATCTAATCTTTTGGCGAAGTGCTGACGAATTCTAGAGCAGAGAACCACGAATTTCAGAGAGAGAGAGATGGGAGATCTTGGCGAATTCTTCAGGATAGAGAAGAAGATTTCGAGATTTCGAGAGATGCGCAGGCCTTCATCCTTTTCCTTAAGATCAAACCGTTGTTTTGATCTTGAGAAGAGTAATAATCTCACCTTGCTGAGGTTATTTACCTATGTTCTAAGTTTCCTCGTTGAAACAAAGAACACTGAGCCTTCTTCACGATCAATCAGATCTGTGAATCGGTGGTCCACAGGTTAACGCTTCCTCGGCACAGACAAAGATGCCATGTAAGCAGCGAACGATAAACGATCTATGCGCGTGTTTCTAAGAGATATTTTTTTGTTTCCGTTGTAACGAGAAATCTTATAAAAAGATTAACTCTTTTGAATCTGTATAAACGATAAACGTTGTAATAGGTTCAACAAGGAAATTGATTTCGCGACCACGAGCTGCGACTGGAGCAGGATGGCGACCTGGTCATCATCGTCGTAGCCGGACCAGTCGAGGTCGATATGAAACCCTAGATCGCTAGGGTTTGAAGGGGACGAGGGAGCGCAGAGGAGGTGGGGCGCCAGAATTGGGATAGCCGGCGTCGTGGCGGGCGCTGTAATCGAGGGAGAGGTGGAAGATCTCCAACCATGGATCTAGGATTAGGGTTTGAATGGGATTTTTATGGCTATC